GATGGGATGGGATGGGATGGGATGGGATGGGATGGGATGGGATGGGATGGGATGGGATGGGATGGGATGGGACGGATGGGATGGGATGGGATGGGATGGGATGGGATGGGATGGGATGGGACGGATGGGATTGCACTGAGGTTCACCTGGGTCAATGAATCTCACCTGCGGGGTGGTGAGCACGATCGCTCCGTCCACGTGAGCTGCCTTGAGGAATTGGACGGCTGAGATGTGCTCATCTGATGTGCCGGGCGGCGAGTCGACAACGAGGTAGTCCAGCTCGCCCCAGTCCACGTCCTTTAGGAACTGGCGGGCGGCACACGGGTGGCAAGGGGATGGGGAGAGGGAGGTGAGGTGGAGGTGAGGGGGGGCAGGAGCAAAGAGAAAACGAGAGGGGGAAAATGCAGAAAGGAGGGAGCAATGGCAGGGCATGACAACACGAGCAGTGAATCTGAAACCACGGCTCGCCACACGCCCACCCGACCCGGCCCTGGGCCGGCGTTGTAACCAACTCAAGGAAGGTCAGCAGGCTGGGAAGGCTCGGCAGGTGGTGAAGCCCCAGACCCTATACCCTTGTGGAGGCAGTGACTGTAAACCCCAGACCCTACACACACCTGTTTGATGAGGCTGTTCTTGCGCGGCCCGCGCCAGACAACGGCGTCATCGGGGTGCGGCAGCATGAAGGCGATGGACATGACGCCCAGGCGGTCGTCCACATACACCGGCGACCACCCGCTGGCGCTCGCATGGATCTCCTCCCCCTCCACCCCCATCAGCCGGGGGATGCTGGGGCCGCAGATGTCAATGTCTAGGAGACCCACCTGGGGGGGGAATAGGGGGGTGGAGTGTGGGTGGGGTGGGGGGGGTGGATGGGCGGGGAGTTGTGGGGGGTGGGTGTTGTTGGGGAGGGGGGGTGGGTGTTGTTGGGGAGGAGGGGAGTAAGTGAGGATGGGCAACGGGTGGAGAGGGGAGGTGGTGTTGGAGTGGCAAGACAGAGCGGTGTGGCAGAGCCAGAACCTGAACCCGCTTCCGCCCTGGTGAAGTGAAGTGAACCTCCTCCCCCTCCAGCCCCACCAGGCGCGGCACACCCGCCTCGCTACTCGTACGAGGCAAGTAGAAACGAAGTGAGTAGCACTCGAGGCCCCACCTGCTCGTCCACTACAGCTTTCCTTTGTGCCACACCACATGCCTCCGCCCGCCCCACGGCTCCAGTCTGAGGGAGCAGCAGGCAACCGACCTGCTGCCATGCCAGCTGACCTGCTTGTCCTGATGCGCCAGGTGCCATGCCAGCTGTGCAGCGAACGTGCTCTTGCCCACGCCGCCCTTCCCCGACAGCACCAGCACGACGTGCTTCACTGCCTGCAGCCGCTGCGCTATGGCCGCCAGGTCTGCGAGCGACAAAGGGGGAGAGCGAGGTGGGAGAGAAGGAGAAACGGAATGGGGAGAGGGGATGGAACATGAGAAGAACGAGAAGTTGATGCCTTGACTGCGAAGGGATGGGGAGTGAGGGCGGGCTCGGATGGAGAAGATTGGAGGCCTCAAGGAGAGTAGCACCCCTACACGCTGCTGTTGCCTGTGACGCAAGGCATCTCACACATGACTCCTCAACCCATCACACGCCCCACAACCAAACGTCACCACGCCACGCCCCACCACACCTGAATCGGGCCCCTTGGGTGCGCCGGGGGCCAGGGAAAATCTGCTGGTACCAACCCCCCAGCACTACACCCCCCTATGCCACACGACTCAACACCACACGCCCTACCACGTCCCACCACGCCCAACCGTGCTCAACCGCGTCCCAGCAATGCACCCTTGGGCTGGCGCGGATCTGCTTGTATCAACCTCCCAGCACCACAACCTCTGCAGCACACACCCCACCACATCCCGCCGCTCCCAACCGCATCCCACCCACACCCCAGCAGCGCACCTGGATCCCCCTTTGGCGTGGTAGCGCCAATATTCTTGTACCAACTCCCCAGCACCAAACCGCACCCAACTGTAATCCAATTTGCCCCACCGCATCTTAGCAGCGCACCTGGGTCCGGCCCCTTTGGCGGCGTGGCGCAGATCTGCTGGTTGGGACACCCTGCAGCACCACACCCTTCTATCCCACACGCCTCACCCCACCACACCCCGCCGCGTCCAACCGCACCCAACCACGCCTCCTCGCCGAGCCCCACCACTGCCCAGCAGAGTACCTGGGTCCGGCCCCTTGGGCGCCGTGGCGCAGATCTGCTGGTTGGGGCACCCCGCACACGCCGCCGCCTTTCCTGCCTCCTCCGCTCCCGTTCCTGGGCAGTCTGCGGAAAGGGAAGGGGAGGGGGGAGGCGGGGGTGGTTTGGGGTTGAAGGGGATGGAGGGAGTTAGACAGCCCGCGCAGGGCGCTGCCTTGTTTTCGCTCTTCCACCGCAGGTACAAGCAGAGGGAGGCAGGGGAAAGCACGGAGGAGTAAGGAAACGAACGACGGTGCGATCGAGAGGAAAGGGATACGAAAAAGGAGAGGAGCAACATCAGTGGGTAGCAAGGCGTGCGGATTCCGTTGAACGGAATCAGTTAGGCAATTCTTTGCGGCGCCGCGGACATCGGGCGAAAAGGTGCTTGCTCACTGGCTCTGCCCTGCGTCTGCTTACACGTAGTTGCTTACTCGCGGATTCTTACTACTCGACGCGTCTGCTTACACGTAGTTGCTTACTCGCGGATTCTTACAACTCGACGCGTCTGCTTACACGTAGTTGCTTACTCGCGGATTCTTACTACTCGACGCGTCTGCTTACATGCAGTTCCGTACTCGCGGGTTCTTACTACTCACTCCACCATCTGCTTATTCGCAGTTTCTTACTCGGAGTTCCTTACTCGCAGCTCCTTACTCGCAGTTCCTTACTCAGTTCCTTACTCACGCTGATTCGCGTCCGCCGGCACGTCGCCCACCGGCTGCGCCTCTCGCGGCTCTTCCATGGAGTCTAAACTTCCGCGCGCACGAGAGTGAACAGGAGTCGCGGTCGCGAAAACGGCTATGTGCGCTACTCTGAACACGAGAAGAATTCGGCTCGAATTTCCAAGCATTTTGTCTTGCTTAGGGCGCGGTACATTTCGGATATTTCTGGGGAGTGCCGTATCTCGGTTGGGCTGCTGCCCATAACTGGGATCGTGGGTTGGTTGTGAGATGTCGTACGCTGGCTTTGTGCGATTGATGTGTGGGGGTGATCATGTCGTATTTAGTTGTCGGGTCACTTTGGCGAACCTGCGCAAGTACGCGAACTTTGTCATACAACTCGACACTTCCTCAGTTCGGGGGCCAATCGCGTTTTCAATCCCAAACATCCTTCCTAAGCTTGAAAGCTGCGGCCCCCAGGTTCCAACTCTGATCTCCCCTTCTCTCCCCACCCCAAATACCTTCCCTAACGCGTCGCCATTCCCTACCAGGAATCTCGTTTTTAGTAACACTCTGCCGTCACCTCTCCCTCACTCCCCGCCGTCGCTTCTCTTACTCCCCACCGTCGCCTCTCCCGTCCTTCCCGCCGTCGCCTTTGGTAGTTGCACGAGCACGAGCGCGGGTTGCTGCACGACCGCGCGTTGTTTTCGCAGGCACGGTTGTCTCAGGTGCGTTTCATTCTCCCTCCGAAATGTCCTATATTTTCCACTTTCCTTGTAAGTTCTCTGTGCCGATTAGTCTCCTCTTAGCATTGTGCCTCCATTTTAAGAAGGGGAGAGAGGGAGTGGGGGGGTTTGCGCGCACGGGAGCGAGCACGCAGGAGCGCTGGCGCCTATCGCGCTGGCGCCTATCGCGCTGGCGCCTAGCGCACTGGCGCCTAGCGCACTGGCGCCCAGCGCGCTGGCGCCTAGCGCACTGGCGCCTAGCGCACTGGCGCCTAGCGCACTGGCGCCTAGCGCGCTGGCGCCTAGCTCGCTGGCACCTAACGCGCTGACGTTTAGCGCGCTGGCGCCTTAAGCGCTGGCGCTAAACGCGCTGGCGCCTAGCGCGCTGGCGCTTAGCGCGCTAGCGCCTAGCGTGGTGGCGCCAAACGCGCTGGCGCCTATCGCGTTGGCGGCTAGCGCTGACGTCTAACGCGCATTCGCCTAACCCGCAGGCGCCTAGAGCGCTGGCGCGTAACGCGCTGGCGCCTATCGCGCTGGCGCCTAACGCGCTGGCGCCTATCCTGCTGGCTGGTGCCTGTCGCGCTGGTGCCTATCGCACTGGCGATTAACACGCTGGCTACTAGCACGCTAGCGCTTGTCACGCTGGCGCCTGCCGCGCTATCGCCGAACTCCCTGGCGTCTATCGCGCTGGCGTCTTAAGTGCCTGCAACTTTGTCCTCTCGGGCACACCTTGGTGATTGGTGCTAAGCGCGTTCGCCCTAGGGTGCTCACGCCTTAGGTGCTGGTGCCTTGGGCGCATTGGTGACGCTTATGGGAGTTGACCCAGCGACGCATGCACCTAGAGCGCTGGTAATAGTAGCACCATGGGCGTTGATGCCTTGGGCGACTTTGTCGTGCTTTTGAAGTTGGCGTGTTTGCGCGTAGAACACTAGGTGTGTTTTTGGTGCCAATACCTCCCCATAATAACTTTTGTTCACTTTCCTTTCTGCTGAAGGTGATACAGCCCGTGCCTTCTGAGGTGGTGTGCGTGATGCCTTGAATCCACATGTATCAACTAGTAGATACTTGTAATACAACATATAATTTGTACTACCATTGGACCGTACTGGGTAATGTGAAAGTTTGACGACGACCTACAGTGAAAGCTTGTTTTAGCGTGCAGATTGAGCATCGCCAACCTCAGCCAACACAACGCATCTTGGACGATCGCGCGGATGCAGAGCAGAGCGCAGTTCTTCATCCATTGACCAAGAAGCGTCGCATAGTCAACGGCTACAACATACCGTATTAACATCGCGAGTTTTAAGATCAACATACTTTTACTTATTCCCAACGCGAACGCCTGATATCTTTGGTCAGTACTTTTGTTCCCTCAATCACCTCCGAAAATCCCGCTTCCCATGTCTGCGCGAATTCGCCACTCACTGTCGCCTTCCTCTACCCGTGTACCACTGCCTTCCTCTACCCGTGTACCACTGCCTTCCTCTACCCGTGTACCACTGCCTTCCTCTACCCGTGTACCACTGCCTTCCTCTACCCGTGTACCACTGCCTTCCTCTACCCGTGTACCACTGCCTTCCTCTACCCGTGTACCACTGCCTTCCTCTACCCGTGTACCACTGCCTATCTCCACCCGCCCTCCTCTCCGCTCCTCGCCACCTCCTTACACGCACTCTCCTGCTGCCCTCGTCGCGCGCTCTGCCCTTGTCTCTTGCGCCCACTGCCGCGCGCGCGGCGCGCTACCGCCCATTCACGTTGCGCCTCCACCCGCCCGTCTACTCTGCCCCGCCCCGCGCTCCTTCCCCGCTGCATGCGCGGTCCCCTTGTTCCTCCCCGCCAGCTTGCAATGAAGGCGCGGGCGGGCGTGCGGTTGGAGCGGGTGGAGGCGGGGCCGGCGGAGGAGGCGGAGGGGGAGGGCACGGAGGCGAGTCCGCGGCTGCCCAAGGCGGACAGCCACAGCCGCGCGCCGCACGAGGCCGTCGCGCGCATCCTCGAGGACGACCTGCTGGAGGGGGGCGGGCTGGATGGGGGGAACGCGGAGGGGGGAGCGGGGGGCGGGGGGAGCGCGGAGGAGGGAGGCGCAGGGGGCGGTGCGGTGGGCGAGATGGCGTGGAGCGGATTGGGGCAGGGGCAGGGGCAGAGCAGCAGAAGCAAGTTTGAGCCTGTGAGGTGGCAGGAGTACTTTGAAGAGGAGGAGTACGTGACAGTGGCCAATGGCGATGTGAGTCGGCACTGCGCACCGATGACAGCACTGCCTGTCTTGTTGCGTTCCACTCACTGCCCTCTCCTCCTCTGCCTGGCCTTCCTCTGCCCTCTCCTCCTCTGCCCTCTCCTCCTCTGCCCTCTCCTCCTCTGCCCTCTCCTCCTCTGCCCGCTCCTCCTCCGCCCGACCCTCCTCTGCTAGTGCCTTATGCCTTTCCACCTGCTCACGCATCGCTCTCCCGCCCCTCTCCTGATCTCCCCTCTTTTTCCACCCACTCCCCCGTTTGCCTGTGGGGCCAGGTGTTCCACGTGTACAGGGCGGGGCGCACAGGGCCCGTGCTGCTGTGCCTGCATGGGGGCGGCTATGCCGGGTGGGTGACCCCACACCCACGCCTCAACCGCCCCCTTCCCCGTTACAAGCACACTGCCGCCTCGTTAAAGCTTTACTCACTCATTGCGCAAGCACGTGCCCGAGCCCACTTCCGAGGCCAGCACGCTGCTCGTGCTTGCTCAGCTCTGCTCAGCACAGCACAGCACGCCCCCCCATCTCATCTCACACCTTGCATGCGCTCCTTCTCTTGCCCGCCATGATGTGCGGGGTGGATGGGGTGGAGGGGGTGCTTGTGCATGAGCGGGGGCAGGGCATCGTTTGCAGTGGCGGCGGGGCACATGAGGGGCGAGGTGCAGGTGGTGGCCGTGGATATGCGTGGCCACGGCGCCACACGCACCGCCAACGACCTCGACCTCTCCGCCCAGGTTTCCTCTCCGCCCAGGTTTCCTCTCCGCCCAGGTTTCCTCTCCGCCCAGGTTTCCTCTCCACCCAGGTTTCCTCTCCGCCCAGGTGCCTCTCTCTCCGCCCAGGTGCCTCTCCGCCCAGGTATCATGCTCACGTGCATGTCGCTGCCTGCCAGCCATGTGTGCTTTGCTCTCTGCTCAGTGCTCTGTGTGCTCTATGCTCTGTGCTATGTGCTTGTTTGCATCGGTTTGTGTGTGCATGTGCGTTCTTGCATGTGCGTGCGTGCATGTGCGTGCGTGCATGTGCGTGTGTGCATGTGCGTGTGTGCATGTGCGTGTGTGCATGTGCGTATGTGCATGTGCGTGTGTGCATGTGCGTGTGTGCATGTGCGTGTGTGCATGTGCGTGTGTGCATGTGCGTGTGTGCATGTGCGTGTGTGCATGTGCGTGCATGCATGGCCCCACCATGCCATGGCAGACGCTGGTGGAGGATGTGGCAGGCGTGGCAAGGAAGCTCTTTGGCGACTCACCTCCCGCCATCGTGCTGCTGGGTCACAGGTGAGAGGGCAGGCATGGTGCTGCTGGGTCACAGGTGAGAGGGCAGGCATGGTGCTGCTGGGTCACAGGTGAGAGGGCAGGCATGGTGCTGCTGGGTCACAGGTGAGAGGGCAGGCATGGTGCTGCTGGGTCACAGGTGAGAGGGCAGGCATGGTGCTGCTGGGTCACAGGTGAGAGGGCAGGCATGGTGCTGCTGGGTCACAGGTGAGAGGGCAGGCATGGTGCTGCTGGGTCACAGGTGAGAGGGCAGGCATGGTGCTGCTGGGTCACAGGTGAGAGGGCAGGCATGGTGCTGCTGGGTCACAGGTGAGAGGGCAGGCATGGTGCTGCTGGGTCACAGGTGAGAGGGCAGGCATGGTGCTGCTGGGTCACAGGTGAGAGGGCAGGCATGGTGCTGCTGGGTCACAGGTGAGAGGGCAGGCATGGTGCTGCTGGGTCACAGGTGAGAGGGCAGGCATGGTGCTGCTGGGTCACAGGTGAGAGGGCAGGCATGGTGCTGCTGGGTCACAGGTGAGAGGGCAGGCATGGTGCTGCTGGGTCACAGGTGAGAGGGCAGGCATGGTGCTGCTGGGTCACAGGTGAGAGGGCAGGCATGGTGCTGCTGGGTCACAGGTGAGAGGGCAGGCATGGTGCTGCTGGGTCACAGGTGAGAGGGCAGGCATGGTGCTGCTGGGTCACAGGTGAGAGGGCAGGCATGGTGCTGCTGGGTCACAGGTGAGAGGGCAGGCATGGTGCTGCTGGGTCACAGGGTGAGCGGGCGGGAGAGGGCAGGCACCTCTAATTTTATTCTTCCACTCCTCCTTCCCCGCTTCATTCATCTGCTCTGCTCTGTGTCCCCCTCGCCCTCCCTTGCATGTGCGGGCGGGGCATGGCACATGGCGCGGGGTGCATGGCATGGCAGCATGGGGGGGGCGGTGGCAGTGCGCGTGGCGGAGCAGCAGCTGCTGCCATCGCTGGCAGGCCTCGTCGTCGTCGACGTCGTCGAGGTGCGTCCCTCTCTGCCTCCCTCTCTGCCTCCCTCTCTGCCTCCCTCTCTGCCTCCCTCTCTGCCTCCCTCTCTGCCTCCCTCTCTGCCTCCTCCCTGCCTCCCTGCCCCCACCTGCCTCCTCCCTGCCCCCACCTGCCTCCTCCCTGCCCCCACCTGCCTCCTTCTGCCTCCTCCCTGCCGCCTCCCTGCCTTACACTGCCCCATGGCATCACTGCCTCCCTGCCCCCCTGCGTCCCTGCCTCACTGCCTCACACTGCCGAACTGCCTTCTCGATTCATCATGTCAGGCCTACTGGCTCATGGGCTCACAGGTTTGCGCTTCGCCATGCTGCTTGATGCCAGTGTGTCAAGTCAGCGAGTGTGCGCCCCTTCAACACCCTCCACCCCCCTTCAACACCCTCCACCCCCCTTCAACACCCTCCACCCCCCTTCAACACCCTCCACCCCCCTTCAACACCCTCCACCCCCCTTCACAACCCTCTACCCCTTTCACCACCCTCTACCCCCTTTCACCACCCTCTACCCCTTTCACCACCCTCTACCCCTTTCACCACCCTCTACCCCCGTCCTCTACCACCTCTTGCTCGTCCGCCCCCTTGTCCTGCGCCCGCCCTACATGGGACACGGCACGGCAGGGCAGCGCCGTGGCATCGCTGGGCCACATGCACGCAGTGCTGGCGTCACGCCCCTCACACTTCCCATCGCTCCACAAAGCCGTGAGTGAGCACCATGCAGTGAGCACCATGCAGTGAGCACCATGCAGTGCATGCGCTTTTGATCGTCGCATGTCCACTTCCCCATGTCCGTGCTTTCCTCTTTGCTGTTGTATGGAATAATTTCTTCCCCTGCACTTCTTCCTCCCCCTCTCTCCTTTCTGTCATTCTCATTCTCCCTTTACTCCTCTCCGTACCCTGCCTATCCCTCCTAGCGTCTGTACTCTGCCACATGTTTCATTCTCCTCGCCCACTCTGTGTTGCGCCGCAGGTGGAGTGGAGTGTGCGGTCGGGGCATCTGAGGAGCGTTGAGTCGGCGCGTGTCTCGGTGCCGCCCACCCTCGTGCCAGACGCCGCAGGGAAGGGGTGAGAAGCGAACAGACAGGAAGGGTCGAGCAGCACACAGCAGGGGAAAGACAGATGCGTGAGGAAGCATGGGTGCAATATAGGGAGGCATGAGGGGGAGGGGAGCATGGGTGAGGCATGGGGAGGCTTGGGGAGGCACGGTAAGTTGCGTTCCATACCGTTCTCAACCCCTTGAATGTCTCTGTTCTACTGTCCCTTCTCCTCCCTCTCTTCCATTCCCACTCTCTCACCCATTCCCTCTCTCACACCCTTTCCTCCACCTGCAGGTTTGTGTGGCGCACCCCGCTGGAGAAATCTCAGCCCTACTGGAAGGGATGGTGCGTGCATGCGTGCACACACATACGTGCACACACATACGTGCACACACATGCGTGCACACACATACGTGCACACACATGCGTGCACACACATACGTGCACACACATACGTGCACACACATACGTGCACACACATACGTGCACACATACGTGCACACACATACGTGCACACACATACGTGCACACACATACGTGCACACACATACGTGCACACACATACGTGCACACACATACGTGCACACACATACGTGCACACACATACGTGCACACACATACGTGCACACACATACGTGCACACACATACGTGCACACACATACGTGCACACACATACGTGCACACACATACGTGCACACACATGCGTGCACACACATACGTGCACACACATACGTGCACACACATACGTGCACACACATACGTGCACACACATACGTGCACACACATACGTGCACACACATACGTGCACACACATACGTGCACACACATACGTGCACACACATACGTGCACACACATACGTGCACACACATACGTGCACACACATGCGTGCACACACATGCGTGCACACACATGCGTGCATGCTGTGTTCTTGCTGCTTGCTGAGCATGCATTCCGCACTGCTCGCAAAGTGGGATGCTTGGGATGTCGATATGCATGCTTGGGATGTCGATATGCATGCTTGGGATGGGAAAAATCTGCTGAAGCTGTTTTGGGGCGAGGGATTGGTTTGTAAGTGCTGGTTGTGAAGAGAAAGCAGAGTGCGGCATGGCTGGATTGGATGCCATCTCTCACCCGCCCTTCTCGTCGCAGTATCTTCCAGCAACCACAAGTGTGCGCTGCTGTGTGAACCATATGCATGTGTGCAAGTGCATTCAACCATGTGCGTGCACGTGTGCATGTCCATGTGCGTGTGCCCGTGCATGCGTGCATGTGCTTGTGTGCGTATCCATGTGCACATGGGATGTGCATGTGTGTGTGTGCATGTGTGCGTATGCATGTGCATGTGTGCACTGCACGTGTGCATGCATGTGTGTGCGTGCATGTGCCCTGCAGGTACACGGGTCTGTCGGACCTCTTTCTGCGCTGCCCCGTGCCCAAGCTGCTGCTGCTCGCCGGCACCGACCGCCTCGACAAGTGAGCCGCGCTCTCATGGCATCAGGGCATGGCGTCAGGGGAGTCAAGGGAGTCAAGGGAGTCCAGGTGGTTAGGCAAGACGGTGTTGCCTCTTGCTCCACAGTGTTGACCGCCCTCTGCATTTTTTCCTTTTTGTCCCCACTCCTGCCTCACTCCCTGCTCCCCCCTCCTGCCTCACTCCCTTGTCGCCCTCCCTCACTCCACATGTGGTGCACGGCGAGCAACCATGGCAGGCCGCTGACCATCGCTCAGATGCAGGGCCGCTTCCAAATGCTCCTTGTCCGCCACTCAGGCCACGCCATCCAGGTCAGGCGCCATCCAGGTCAGGCGCCATCCAGGTCAGGCGCCATCCAGGTCAGGCGCCATCCAGGTGAGGTGAGGCGCCATCCAGGTGAGGCGCCATGCAGGTGAGGCTTTCTTCCCCTTGTTGCTTCTGTGCTCTGTGACCCAACACAAGCTGTGGTGCTGCTGTGGGTGCGCGCGCATGTGCAGGAGGACGAGAGCTTGGAGTTCTCTTCCAGCGTGCTGCACTTCATTGCAAGAAACCGAATCACACAGCGTGGAGTCATGGTCAGTACATGGCAGCATTACAGGGGCACCTCTCTCTCTCTCTCTCTCTCTCTCTCTCTCTCTCTCTCTCTCTCTCTCTCTCTCTCTCTCTCTCTCTCTCTCTCTCTCTCTCTATCCCTCATCCTCTCCTCTTTCTCTCTCTCTATCTCCCTTCACACACACTCTCTCAGCCATGTCCCCCTACTCTCTCCCTCCATTTTGTGAATTTGTTCTCTTGACCCCTTTCTTGTAAGCTGCTTGTGGTCTGTACCAAACCAAACCCCCATTTTCCTCTGCTTTCCGCAGGTTGGTGGTTTCATCCATCAGTGACCTATTTCGCCACGCCACTCCATTGCGGACTCTATCTATATGGTTTTCTGTTACGCAAACCCACTCCACCTGTCATGACAAACATGGTTTACTGTTTTTCAGAGTCGCTCACATACATTGTGATGGAACATGACATGAGACATACGGTCATGCTTTTGTCTGAAGCATCAGATTCGCGTGCCTTCTGTTCAATCAACTTTGAGAACCAGTGAAGTATCGTAACTTGAGAACCGGGAAAAAAATTGACTATGCAATGATTAACCAGGTACCGTAATTGCCACATGTTACGAATGCATTTGAGGAGCCGAGCGAGGATTGCACTAAAAGGGAAGAATGAGTACAATGTGTGCAAGCAATGAGCGAGCATCTGTAGCAAGACAATCACGCACGGCTCTTGCTAGTATCTAAAGCCCGAGTGCAGCATGGACCAGGCCCTCAGATATCAGCGTAAAACACGCTGATTACGCTGATTTTGTAGCTCAGATTTTCGTTTTCCCTGAAAATTCAGCATATGCTTCAAATTTGCACTGAAATTTCAGTATAACATACCTTGCCACTCTGGCCATTTTCCGTGTTGCTGTACAAGTAACACTGACGAATCAGTGTAGTGTCGTGAGTCACACTGAAACGGACTAGACCGATTCGGGGTGGTACGCGTGTGTACAGTCTGTACCTGGCCCGGGATTCACGAGACCCCACTAGGCTGTACCTGGCCCGGGATTCGCGAGACCTCACTCACACACTTAGGGCGTGTTCCTACACCTCGTATCAGACACATCTCGTATCAGCTTCGCGTGGTTAAATAATGTTTCAGTGTGTTCAACTGTGGTTGGATGCGTTTTAGTGCGTTTCGACGCGAATCTGATACGAGGTTGCCTGATATGAGGCCGTAGGAACACGCTCTTAACGATGCATGCGCTGTACAGATCGCGCGCCGACGTATTCTGCATCGCTGGAAGGAGCTCTCACAGCGACAAATTTTGAATGGGAAATTCAACTTTGTATTTCTTTTGTACACTGATGGTTCAGTTTACTTATAACTTTTACACTGGCAAAATCAGTATAAAGAAAACCATGAACGCTGATTTGGACACCTAGGCGACCGGGGCACGCTGATCCATCAGCATACCCTCAAACCAATCTGAGGGCCTGAGCATGGTTTTTTTCAAGTTCAAGATTCTTGAACTTGAAATCGTCAATAACAAGGTTACCCTACTTTGTTTGAGGGAACTTTCGCGATTCTGGGACAATGCCTAGCGACACACTCTCCTCAATAACTTTTGTGCACAATCGCAAAACAGAACCGAACGTCGCTCAGGTTGGCTTGGCTCCAGGGCCTCAGAAGTCAGTGAAAAAAGGCTGATTTAGGTAAAAAAAGGCTGAGATTTCATAATTTTTTTAGAATAGAGGCTGATTTTCCAGCAATTTGTTGAAAAGAAACATTATTTAACTAGATCTTTAGTGTAGATTGGCATAAAATGGCTGATATGTCTGATTTTAGTACAGTGATCACTCACAGATATAGATATATAAATCACAGTACAAGGCAAAGGTAAGCGGTAAGCTAGTGAGACAGAGTAGGCACAAGGCCTAGAGCAGTGCAGAAGTGCTGATGATCACCAGACACAAGTGCCTTGGTGAAAATAGCAGCACTGTAGGCCCGTGAGGCCACGAAAGCAAGGCAAAGCTAACCACGCTGATGCAACTCTCGGGCAAGAAAGTAACGCAGAGCGACATGCTTCATTCTGTGCTCCAGTCTCTGCTTCTGACACAAGGCAATCATGGCCTTGTTGTCGACGTACAGAACTGGAGGAGAACGAGGCCGCTCTCCCAAGTTGGTAAGCAGGTAGGTAAGCCAGCGTAACTCCTGTGCAGCCATGGCCCCCGCGTAGATCTCATCCTCACAACTAGAGTTGAGAACAGAAGAGGAGCGGGTAGACCTCCAAGAAACTGAACTGGAGCCTAGGCTGAAGGTCTAACCCTATGACGACCGCTGAGTCGCTTGGTCGGCTGCCCAAGAAGTGTCTTAGTGTCTAGTGAGTACAACTGGACCCCGTCCTCCAAGCACGAGCTCCATATCCGATGTACTGCACAAGTAACGCAGCACCCTCCTAGCAGCCGGCCATGTCAAATTATGTATGTGCTAGTTCCGTGTAGGCTATAGTGGGGTAGCCTGTATAGGGGTACAACCCATTGTTAGGGTTAGTACTTGTACCCACAATCCTTTCAATGCAGTCATCTAGCTTCTAATCTTGACATGGTATTAAGAGCAGCACGTCCGTGGGACCGTTATTTTTTCCGGGCCCACCATACTTAGCAACCGACTGCGGTTACCACGTTACCCCACTACTTTGCGTCGCGCTGCCCGCGCACGCCCTGCCCTGCCCTGCCCCGCGTCGCGCTGCCCCGCGCACGCCCTGCCCTGCCCTGCGTCGCGCCTTGCTGCAGTCCGCCCGTCACGCCCTGCTGCCCTGCGCGTCGCGCCCTACGGCAGCCCGCACGTCGCGCTCTGCTACCCCGCGCGTCGCGCTCTGCTGCAGCCCGCACGTCGCGCTCTGCTGCCCTGCGTGTCGCGCCCTACAGCAGCCCGCATGTCACGTTCTGCTGCAGCCCGCGCGTCGCGCCCTGCCGCCCTGCACGTCGCGCCCTACGGCAGCCCGTGCGTCGTGCTCTGCTGCCCCGCGCGTCGCGCCCTGCTGCGGCCCGCGCGTCGCGCCCTGCTGCCCTGCACAGCACGCGCCCCGCTGTCCGCGCCGCCCAGGCCGAGCCGAGCCGCCCTACCCGACCCGATCCGCTCTGCTGCTTGTGCTACTGCTGCTGCTGGTGGAGGTGCTGCTAGGAGTGCTGAAGGTGCTGCAACCTAGCCTCGTCGAGCCGCTCTGCTGCTCTTACTACTGCTGCTGCTACTCGTGCTACTGCCTTCACTCCGTACTGCCCTAGAGGTCGTGCTCCTCCTAGCTTGCCCGCCATGACTTCACTTCGCAGCAGCAGTGGGAGTGGTGCTGGCGGTGGTGGCAGCAGTGGAAGTGGTGGCGACCGTAGTAGCAGTCACTGTGGCATTGTTCAGTGCGGAGTTTCTGGCAGTAGCTACATGCAGTTACAGCGGCGTCCGACCCTTATGCCCTGGCAGCTTTGTGAGTGGCTTTACCAGCGTGGGACGTCTCCGAGTCCTGGTCGCTGCTTGTACGTCATTCGCGCAGGTCGTCGAGCTGGTCAGATCTGTGGGACAACTAGTCACGCACAGTCCCGCTGCTTCGCCTATTTGAGTGACGTCTGGCACGCAGAGTTTGGAGACGAGGCTGAGATTCCCCACTGGCTTGAGCTGCTTAGGTCGTGCAGTGATGTCTTTGCTTTAGACTATGACGCCATACTTACTGCCATGTATGCTTTGCCTAGTGGTGCTGAGGGTGACTGTTACCTGTGTGTGCAGCACGACCCCGGTATAGAGGTTACTGCTCTAGGTGCTAGTGAGGCTGGCCTTAGGTGCTAGAGAGTCTGCTCACTCAAGTACTGCGCCTACTGATGCCTTGCACACCTTCACGCTTGACTCAGGTGCTTCCCGCTGTTTCTTTCGCGACAGTACTGCACTCACACCACTCCCTGCACCTGTTGCAGTGTCTCTGGCTGACCCCTCAGGGGGTCCAGTTCTTGCACGGTCCACCACTGTGCTCCCGTGCCCGGCGGTTCCGTTAGGCTCGCTGTCAGGCATCCACCTCCCCTCGTTCTTTACGAACTTGGTGAGCACCACAGTTCTCTAGGACCAGTGGGTTGACACCTTTACCCCTGGAGGACAGTGTGTGGTGATCTGTACGTGCTCTCGGACTGGCCGCCACCTAGCCACGTTTACCCGTCGGCCAGGTCGAGTCTTTACACATTAACAAATCCGCCTCCTCAGGTAGCTGCTACAGGTCAGGTGTCTACGTCAGGTCAGGTAGCCTCCCCTTGTGAGTGTCGCTCCCTATCACACCAGACTCTTCTCTAGCACCATTTTTGGGTCACCCCTCCTTGCCACGTCTACGTGGCATGCACCGTCGCCTCCTTGTGTCCGGTCTTCCCAGGTCTCTCCCTCCCCTCCCTACCTCCCCTACGCCGTCCTGCCTTCCTTGTGTCGAGGGGCGGCAGTGG